CTCCAACCATCAATCAAGTTGGCTGTTTTTTCTTATGTTTTGGTTTTTCAATGTTTAATTTCTTTCTGTTTTTGGCTTTTCTTAGTGTGTGGAAACATGTGTTGGAATACAACTCTTTTTTGGATTTTGTGATGACCTAATTAATGGAACAAAGTTAAAAATGTTCTTAAATTATGTAAAATGAATAAAAATATCCTCGGTTAATAGTTTGATCCAAAATATCATTGTCTTCAATAATTTTATCTAAAAATGCTCTTATTGTTACTTAATAAGTCAAAACCGTCCTATTTCAATTAAATATATTATTTCTCTTTTTTTAAACATGTTCTTTTCCTAATAATGATTTTTTTTCATTAGAAAATGTTTATCCTACTTCAATTTATAAAAAGTATTAATAAATAAAAATGTTTTCTATATTATTAGAAAGTTTTTTATCGTTATCTAAATGAAAATTAATGACGGGGTTACTATGAGGACATATAATAAAAGAAGTTGAGAACTCGATCAATGTGGACGAGAATAACAAAAAAAAAAACTTACAAACTCGCTTGGTGTGGACTGTGGAGCGATTTTTGGGGGGGAAATAGAGAGCAGATCGCTCATAAGTAGCAAGAAAAAAAAAGATAAATTAAAGAGAAAATCGCTCATAAGTCAGCGAGATGATCAATTTTTTTATGCCGCTAAAGGTAGTTATAGCACAAACATATCTCGCTCCTTCTCTAGCAAGGTGTCCCTTTTGATTAAACCAAAAATTGAATGACCCTTTATGTATTTTAAAGAAAAAAAGTGATGTTTTTAACTTTGAATTCGAAATTTAATCATCGCAATATAATTCATGAACGAGTTTTTATATCAATTGTAAAATAAAAATAAAAAAGAAAGATAATATATACTAGCAGGGAACTACATGTGATTACTACTAAAGATAAATTCAATTTCAGGTGATATTTGGATTTGAATTGTCTTACCTTGCTATCATAACATTATCTTTGTTTTTATCCATTAAAAAATGTATACATTTGTATATTTATTACTAGTAATATCTTTAATGTGTCATCACATAATTATCCCTCAATTAGTAAAATGTTTGGACTTTTTTCATGTGAGGAAGTGAAACCCATCCTCATTGAAAAAGGAAATTAATACATTTTAGCTCAACTTTTAATTACTTAATGCCAAGTTTGATAAAATTAAATAAGAAACAATCGTAGACAATCTCTAATTATTAGAATTTTACAACATGCATATAAAATGGGTTATATAAATTTTGAGTTTAGCCTTTTTTTTTCTTCTTCATGTGATTCTAAGTCCTCCACTTTATTTTTATTTTAATATTTATAATTAAATATTTTTTACTTGACTCACAGATCGGGTTGGACCAGTCCAGTCTTGATTAAGCCTCACGAGTCGACGAGCTTATTTAGGTTAGGCTAAACAATCTCGTTCTTAAATGAACTTCAATTTTTTTTAGCTCAATCCTATCATATCGCGGATTAGGTTGGATTTAGGTGAAGCAATGGACCAAGTCCAAACTAACAGCTCCAAAATCTACGAGGTTTAGAATTTAAAATCTTCTTACATAACAGATGACCAAAACAAATCAGCAAAAATGGCCGCATGCATATATAATGAATTATATGTTATGTATCGATATGGTATAAATAGTCATTTAATGTATCAATATTGGATAAAAGCATATAGTTATGTATTTATAATGTATAACTATGTATTATATGTATTTCTCTTCCTTCTCTCATTCATAAATAAATTGATTCATCTTCCTTCCTTCCTCTACGATTTCACCGAATGCTATCTTCATTCTCCTCTCAATTGGTAATCTTTTTCCTCCATCATCTAACTAATTTTTTTAGATGAATGATGGCTGTATATACTTTTTTACATGATTTCTCTCTCTAAAATTATACAATTTTCTTCGTAATGATTCTCAAATCTCATCCATTCTTTTTCTGATATTGAGGAATTTGTCGTTCAAATTGCGAGTTATTTATATTTTTGAGGTTTAAAAGCAATTTTTTTTATTTTTGAACTTTAATTGTCTGTAACGCCATTTGTTTTTTGGGTCATTTCCTATTGGATTTGAATATGCATGTACTAATTTTCTGTTATACTTATTCATGTTTGGATTTAGGTAGTGAGATGCAATCTTATGGATGATTTTGAGTACAAACTTGTTAAATTAGGTCTTGAGCCTAACTCACACCCCAAAAGCTAGCTCAAAGGGAGGAGGATTGCCCAAGCCTTACTCCATCCATCTCATTAACCACTAATGTGGGACTTTTTGGCTTTAACACTCCACCTCATGCCCAGTGCTAAGCATCTGGTGCGTGGGCAATTTTGGCAATTTTTGACCCACCTCACGCTCAGTGCTAGTGCTTAGCATCTGGTGCGTGGACATTTTTTGGGCAATTTTTGATTTTTTGGGCCCCAACATCGGGTGAGATGGCCCTGCTTTGATACCATGTTAAATTAGGTCTTAGGCCTAACTCACACCCCGAAAGCTAATTCTAAGAGAGGAGGATTGTCCAAGCCTTGTAAGGAGGCCACCCATCTCATTAACCACCAATGTGAGACTTTTTGGCTTTAACAAAACTCAAAGATAATGGACTATTGTAGGCATTTTCTCCTCCATTTTCTCTTCAGGTTAAGAGTTGGTGCAACAAAGGTTTTTGATGGTATGCTTGAACCAAATAAAAGATTTTTCATTATTTTTTCTTACAGATTTTCTACAATATAATTCTCTGTCAATTCTGAAGATATTGGTTCAATATTAACTTTCTTTGGCTTCTGATGGTGAGTCTAAGTTGTTATGATTGAAGATAAACGAAGATGATTATTGCACTTATACATAGTAAAAAAAATACCTACTTTTATGATAAAACTTTTTGGTGCTTTAGTGATTGATAGGAAAAACATTGGCATATTTGATGAGAGAAAAGGAAAAAGTTAAGATAATGGAGTACTGACATCGCCCTTGACAGTGTTTGCTTTTGTTATGAAAAATACAGGGATCACCTGCTCAAATTTATTGATAATGAGTCAAGGTATCTATAGATTTTAAAATGAATTTTATTATATGCTATGCGTCTATGTTGTTTGAACTCTTCAAAGATGTCATTAGGTGTGTGTCGGGTTCTCCAAAAGTAGAGTATTTTTAGAGAATTCAACACTGATAGTGCATCAAAAGTGAAGACTCTGTGCAACTTAGCTATGCACAACTCTATAAGAGGCTATTAACTTCTGTTCTTATGAAAAATAATACAGGGAATATTTGCTTGAGTTTGTTAGAAGTTTTTAGAATTTATTCTCTTCCCCTAACTAAAAGTCCATTACAACTACCTAATCTTTTCCATGGCGGTCATATGTTCTTTACTTCGATAAATGACATACCATTGTGCAATGAAAATGTTGATAGATTACTATTTGAAAGTGAATATAATTAGGCAAGTTATATTGATTTCTTTATACTGATATATTTACAACTAATTTGTAGCTCCGATTTAATTTTTATGTTTTAGTCGAACATTTGCAATGACAACGTAATAGATGGAGCTGACCATGTGTTAATCAAGTTAGGTCAAAATCACAACTTAAGAAACTCAGGAAGTCCTACAATCTCCAAAAGTAATGTCATTATATGTTTTTCTAACAGAATTGTCTCTGTCATCAACATGAAGTTTGTATGGCTTTTGAATTACCAAACGAGTTTGGCATAGTCAAAAAGTATTGTATTAGATAACTTATCTTTGATCTGTTGTAAAAGAGCTTGTTATATCTTAGAAGATGACACCATGTATTAATGTGCAGGAACAAATACTTAACATGAATCAATCGAAGAAGCTTTTTGTTCATACTACCAAGTTGTAATGATTTTTTAATACTGATATGATATTTGTCATTAGTCCATATTAAATTTAACCATTTGAACAGCATTTTACTTAGGTGTACGGTATAATTTTCCGGCGAAGGATGTCCAAATGTAGCTCCACCCCTGCTTGATGCTCACCTGCATAGTGGGGAAGAGGTTGATGAGTATTTCGATAGGAAATATTCTCACTATCTTTTCCACACCAATATATGAAAACGACGAACGAGACCTCAAACTGCCAAAATTAGTAACTGATATAAGAAAGTCCAAACACGACCTCTCCACCAGAAACAATATACAAGAAAATATGTTTGTTACAGAGATGTTGGAGGCATATAGAACAGGTAAATTGCCATTTCAACAAAGGGATTGTGATGTTTATATGATTACTAGTATATTAGCATTCGAATTCGAAAAATTAGATTTTGGACTTGGGAAGCCTGCTAAAGCAAGCAAAGGAAGTGGTCCATCTAGCAACACTTTTATCTTAATGAATACACCAGATGATCATGATAGAGGAGTTGAAGCCTTTGTAAATTTGAATGAAGAAGATATGTCTGTTTTCATCAATGATAAAGACCTCCTCCAATTTGCTACTCCATTTGTAGGGGACAAGTCAAAATGAACTAAGTTGATAGCATGCCAATTTACTGTACTGTTAGTTTAAATACAATGTTTGTTTTGATTGTTACTTATATTCTACTGTATCGTATCGTTTAAATCAATCGTTATGTAACGACCGATTTGGTGTGATCACGTTGTTACCTTAATATTTTCTTCTCATTTTATCTTTCTTTATTATTTAAAAGTCACATTTCATCTTTTATCCTACCTTTTCTAAAGCAAGTTAATAACAACCATATTTTCTAAAACTTGAAGAACATTATAAAAATGATCACCTCATGACTACCTTAAATTTTGATCTTGGGAAAAAAACAAATGGACGATTTTTTACATTTGTTTTGGATATTCCTAAAGGACATATCAAAACATGACTCCACTTAACAACATACCTAGTGTAATCCCACAAGTGGAGCCTGGGGAGAGCAGAGTGTACACATATCTTACCCCTAATTCGTAAAGATAGAGAAGTTGTTCCCAATAGACCCTCAGCTTAACTAAAGCCTGCCAAACAGTTTGAAAAAGGATACAGATACGGGAGCAATAACAACAACAAATTAATGCGAAATGAAGAGTGTTACACAACATATTGGAGAAAGAACAGTAATGAAAACGAAATAATGCAATAATCGGCTACAAATACATTTATCTGAAACAGAAGTTTTAAAGTTCACAATCATACCATATGCACAATGGATGAAAACAGGTATCTTTTGAGCTCTTTTTCTACAAGCCCACTTAACAGCAACCTCTATATCAGCTGGCTGAGGTGACCTAGTATCCCAAGTTGGAATACACAAAAATGCATGATTTCCAGTAAACTCCAACATCCTAGGAATCTCACAAGTACAATCAATAATAGCAGGATTACCAGGTGGCAATTTATCAAGTGAACAAGGCCAACCCCCAACATACAACCCTTCAGAAATCTCACTATATGGAGGTTCCCCACTCTTCATTCTTCTCAAAGCTGAAAACCCCCTAACAAAATACAAGTAAGGACTAAACATAACAAGTGACCAAATTGGAAATGTCCCATCTGAGTTTTTCCCCAAAAGAATTGGAAGATCAATTGAAGGGTTAGCAGCTAATGCTACCAATAGAGATACCAATGATGCATACAAACAAGGTATTGACAATAATGGGTACCCATAATTCTTGAGAGTTGCAAATAATATGAATAAAGTTACTGACTTTAGGCCTATAAGCACAGAAATTCCAACACCCATTTCAGTTCTTGACCAAAAGAATCGATTATTAAGCCAAAACAAAGTCGAAAATTCAAATGGGTTATACCCAATTCAAGAAAATACGAGAAAGGAAAATCTTAAGGCAAATACCAAAATAAAATTGAGAATCTAATGGAGAGAAAGAGGGAAAATCAAGAAGACAGAGAGGCAAATCGCTTGATGAGAGGGAAAGAACTTGACTTTTAGGAGCTGTTGGTTGGAGTTAGGAACCTAATGAGAAAAATGAGTTAATTAAAACAAAAATTCATTTGAATTACTCCTTCCGTCCCGTATTATGTAATACTTTTCAGATTTCGAGATTCAAACAAATCTAATTTGACTGTAAGTATTTCATCGATCTTTTAAATATTTTGAATTATCAATTAGTGTGACTTATAATATTTTTTACCTAGTTTACAAATATATAAATTTCATTTTAAAAAAAAATAAAAATTCAAGCACGGTTCCACGGCTCGTAGATGTTTTTACGATCCGTAGGTCATCTCGTGAACTTTAGACCTGAGAACCAATTTTCAAGAGCATGATTCCACAGACCCACCTACGATCCGTAGATACCTCTGCTGGCCGTAGATGCCTTTCGTGGCACCAAACTATAAAAAAAATTCATGGTCTAATTTGAGGTAGAATTTTTGAGGTGTTACATGATCTTTCAGCCTCTATCGAAAGATCTGAATTTTGGCTGCCAAAGGCTATATCAGAGGCCATCGCTAACTCATCAAAGCTTGAAGGTCAAGAAGCAAGGGAAAAATATCTATTAGATCGAGAAGTCAATTTTCTTGTGAACATTTCTAGCGTACAAGGTCTTGTACGACGATTCAAAATGGAAATATTGGATTGAATATGAGTGGGTTGAAAATGGATTAGATAAAAAGGAAAAGATCCCATCAAATAAAAACAAGAGGGAGAGAACACATGCCATTATACTGGAAAACAGGAACTGTCAAAATTCTTTCTTGTTTTCATTTCTCTCTTGTAATTAAACACTCGAGATTTTAGTCCTTTTTAAGTTATTGAGTTCAAAACTAATAATATTTTAGAACATAAACTGGAAAAAGTCTTCAACTTTAACAAACATAAGAAATCACATTATAACAACAAAACACGAATAAGGCTTTATAGATAGTTAGATATTATTAGTTCATTAGTCTTGTTCATTTCAATTGTTTAAATATAAGACTTGAGTTGCCTCATTGGCCAGTTGAATGTTTCCTTTACAACATTCTAAGTTTATTTCATGAGTTTATCTTTGAGTTCTTTTATATGTTGAGTAAAATCTTCCGTTGAGTAGTAAGTCAGGCCAAGGGTTCGCTTGGGGTCAGCAATGGTTCTCGAATGTCAGTCTCGCCCAGGGTGTAGGCTCGGAGCGTGAAAGTAGAGACACAAGGAGTCCAAGATAGGGAAGGGGTTGTGCACCATCAACACTTGGGAGCAATTTCGAGAAGAGTTCAAGAAGGCCTTCTTCCCTAACAACGTCATCTATGAGGTCAAACACAAGTGTAGGGAATTGAAGCAAATGGGTAGCATTCGGACATACGTGAAGGAGTTCAGCACTCCCACGCTTCAAATCCCCAACCTCATGGATGAAGACATGTTGTTCCACTTCATGTACAAATTGCAAAATTGGGTCAAGACGGAGTTGGAGCGGCGACAAGTCAGGACCATCGATGAGGCCATCACCCAAGTTGAAGCTTTGACCGACTTCAAGCATAGCCGGCATGACAAGGCGAAAGGCAAGGATGCAAGGAGTAGTCATACTAAAGGTGGGGGAGATTGTGACCGAGGCAAGGAGCAACAAGTACATCCTAAGGAGCACTGTTATGTCGTAATTTTACTACTTTTAGAAAAATCACTTTTTGAAATGTTCAAAGTATAAAACAATTTGAGAAAAATACTTAGAAAAGAGTCGCCACTTAATTTTTAAAAGAAATTAAGAAAACTTATAATTTAAAAAGACTCAAACAGATTAAGTCTTTAAAAATTAGAGAAAATGGGTAAGCGGTTCTCATTTACACTTCAAGAAGGTTTTTAAGGCATTTGAAGCGCCCACTAACACACGGTTATCCTACGACTTGGTTAAAATATATTTTGATTATTTTTTAGGAAAATGATTATAAAAATAATTTTAAAAAATTTGATTTAACTTGGAGAAAAATAATTAAATAAAGGACACCTTTTATTTTATTTTATTTTATTTCTTAGAGAAAGGGACCTAAAATGAAACATTTGAATTAATTTACAAATGATTAAGATTTTAAGAAAAACTAAATTAATTAGAATTTATTTGAATCTCTCTTTTTTTTTTTAAATAAATAAATAATAATTTAGACCGATTTGGTTAATTAAAGCATGAAAAATAATTAAATTAATTGAAAAAGGTTTTGACAAAAATATATTTGATTAAAATAAAAATGGATATAAGCATAGATAAGAAACGAAATTTTGT